CAATTTTTTTGAACTCTAAAACTTCAAATATCTTTCCAAGGGACTCTCATATTTTCGCATAGAGGAAATCGTCTAAATCCTTTTTTTTTGCCTAGAAATTGCCATCTACCTCAGAAAACCCGATTTTATTTTTTTAATACAGAAGGATACCTGGAACATCTGGTCCTTTTGTACAGAGACCAGCTGAGCAGCCTGAGTTGGCATAGGTGGTACAATTTGCACCAAGAGTGCAAGCAGTACCAGTTGTCCACATCACACCATTGGTATAGTAGCCGCTAAATACAGTATAGGGCTATCCAGGTTGCATCCATAGTAAGAAACTTACATAGCATTGTAAAGGCATGTAATAGTTAAAGCGTTAGGGCTGCCAGAGCAGACCTTATATGCACAGCCAATCTTTGTCGTCTCGGAATAGACCATCTAGATGAGGTAATTTCTGATTGAGCACTCACATCAAGTTTACACAATTGTACCCACGTTGGCAAAGGTGTATAAATTACTGCTAGTGTATCTATTTTGTGCATCGGTTACACCGTACTGCTTTGCTTTGCCCCACCAGCTGTTTAGTGTAGAATCTATCTGAGCAGATGGATTGGAAAATGTGCCAGTGCTGGTGTATCTGAAATGTATGTCCTTAAAAATAATTTGAGATTATTGCCAGATTAATTGTTAGCTTTTTTGAAGTTAATCGATATCTGTATGATCGGTTGAAAGCGGTTTAGAACCTCCAAAATTACACAGCAAGTTGATCGCTTGGAATTCCAAAAAATGAAATAACCTCGTTGTTGCTGGGTAAAAATTTTCAAAAGAAAAGAGCGAAGACTCATATCAAAGCAAATTTTTGACCAATTTTTCTTGTCTGACACTCACTTGATTAAGTTCTGTGCTATATTTGACCATGATCCTAAGCTGCTAGGGCAAGAGGCAATGGCATTCTGTGCTTGCTGCTCCAATGTGCAGTCCCATTCCTAGGTGGGGAAGATTATTTGAAATTTTTTGCATATGAGAGGTTCTGAAAGAACCGCATTATGAGAAATTATATGAGACTAAGAATTAAAAAAGACGAGAAAACTTTTGCGTAAATCCATTT